CACCAGAAACAGATAAAGGCACACATTTCTGCTTGAACATGCAGATTTAAGCATATTCGTATGGCTTTTCACATACATGAAAGCTACCAGCTGCCCTTGTCAACGAGAGTAGAACATTAAGGCTCAGGGTGGTTGATGGAGGATGGATGAGGGTCTGGAGGAGGGATTAGAAGCAAAGGGACCAAAGTACTGGTCATTCCTTTAAGAGGATGCAAAGGCTCGGAGCTGCGAGGACTTGACAGATCTTCAAAGGTCTTCCCACCCGATACGACTCACCCTAACTCCCCAACAAAAAAATGATAAAAGCTAAACATTTTACAAAGATATGAACTTTTTGTTTATTCCTTTGTTTTTTGCATCACTGTAGGCCACAACAAACAATTTGTTGTTTATTTGTTTGCTTTTGTTTAACAGGTAAGAGGTGAGCATGAAAGAGTCTCAAAATGTGGCTCATCAGATTTTTTATTTCTTAAATATCTGTTACGTAAGGCATGGATAATAAATGACAAAAGAAAAAAGGATTCTTTTTAAGAACCAGCCACGGGGTAAATTGCATAGCATCAAAAGACACGCATGCATTACACATGAGGGTGGGCAGGGCCTTTCTTTCCATCCTGCTGTATGTTGGCTATTCAGCAATACTCCAGTCAGTTGCACCGATTTTGGGCAAATTCTGTAACAATAGTGAGGGAGCTGAGCGTTTAGGGGCTTGGGCTTAAGTTGACAGTAGAGTGACCGTTGAGAGGAGTAAAAAGAGCCTAGTTTAATAAGCCCTGGTGTAGGCTGGTCTACGCAGGGGGTTGGCACCGCAGAAATCAGAAAACTGCTGTGCAGATGAACATGAGAGAAATCTAAAGGACTGCCTAAATCATAGGGGCACAGAGCTGGGACTCCATTTCTCTAAACGTGTGCAATAATTGCATGGTCTAACATGGGAGCCCTGCTTCTGGTGTGCATGTGTGTATTAGGAGCTCATTAATTCTAAACAAGCACAAACAGACATGAAATAGATCACCTTATCTCACATAGGAATACATTTATATGAGCTGCGTTCGTACAATGCGGCATTATTATTTTTCATTGTGTCTTTTTCTTTAAAATTAGTCATTATGGGTTGTTACAGTTGGACCTCATTATGCATTCTTTGTATTGGTGATGCCTGATGTCAAATCTGCATGTAGCAGTCTATTCTTGTGGTGGGGAGGGGATGAGGGGGGGTTAAAAAAAACATGTTTCTGCAACTGTGTTTATGTGCTGCAGCAATTTTGCATAGAGAGAAAGAGGCAGCGTTCCAGACGTCAGAGGGAAGAATCAGGCCCTACTTACCTTGGAACCACACTGGCACAGATTAGGGGCCATCATGAAGGAGCCATGGAGGGTGAAGATGGCCAGGAGCTGCAGAGATAAAGGTTGATGAGCAAAGAAGTACAAAAGTAGCTGGCATTAATAAAAAAGAAGGAAGGGAAGGGTTGAGGGCGTGTTGATAAAAAGAAAACAAGAAGGGAAGCAAAAGCACCTCTGACTCGACCTAGGGGAGGTTCACAAGTAAAGCCAGAGATCCAATTAAAATTGCACTCGGTCACTGAATATTAGTGCTGACACAGCCTGCCTGTAAGTGCCACTGGAAACGTATGGAAACTGCACAGTGTAAGTTACGCAAGATGTCATAGTCGGTTATGATGATGCATAAAAGCTGAAATCTGGTGTGACAAAGCTGCCAACCCGCCCGTGCATAGCTGGATATCTAACCAAATATGGTCCAACAGCAACACAGGAGGCTCCACCACTCAGCAGAGGTGGGAAAATGTTTATTTATTTTTTTAAATGACACCAAACTGATGTATACCTTGTCCAAAATGGCGCTTGCGCTTGTTGCTAGGCAGAGCGCAGAAGTAAAGATGGTGGCGAACAAGTGGCAAACTGGGAAGGGGTCTAATCACTGGAAGACGAAGGGTATGGGTTCAGTGTTTATTGAACATTTAGCGCATCTTTGGTCGGAAAAAGATCAAAAAAATAAATACTGAATAAAAGAAATGTGTGGTTGAAGGCGCTGCCTCATGTCCTCACACAACCAATAAACACTTTCACTTGCACATTAAATAGAAAAGCACTCTTAGAATCCAAAATATTATTTAATCAGCTCTGTGGGGAGCTGTAATATTTTCAGAAATACAAGTGGAAAGAACAAAATGGGAATGTTTGGGGCTTAGATGAAGAGTGGTAGAAATTGCAAAACAGAAACCCTGAAACTATCCTAACACCTATAAAACATTTGATGCAAGCTATTGATTAGGTTGCAAAAGACAGAAAGTGACCTCATAAATTCCATCTATCTCTTTCATTAAAGTCTGCTGATCAAAGCCAAGCAAGCTCGCCCCAGTTAGCTTGAAGAAAGAAGCACTTCACTGTTTAAATATTTCAAACCGACCACTCAAAATGATCTTAGGCTATATTAAATCACTTGTTATATAAGCTTAATGTCAACTGATATTACTTTTTACAGCAGCAAGTCACACTTGTTAGGAAAATCAAAAAGGCTGATGTTCCAACTGGTTGTTGTTGAGTTGAATGGTTCAACAGAAGCTCCTGCAGGAAAGTTAAAAATGAAAATTAACTGTGGAGGAGAAAAATCAAGGGGTGGGGGCGGGGGTGCAAAATGCATCATCAAAAATATCTGACTTTCCCAAAAGATGCATTCCTGAGAGAATGATGGGCAACAACATGCAGCAACACAGAATGCATAAACAAGTTCATCACAGCCTGCATATTACATATACAGTGAGAGGGCTTTATGGGAAAAACTTGTAATAATTAGAACAAATTTATGTTAATTTTGATGTCTTTTTTTAATCAAACTGTTTTTTTTGCTGCTTGGATTTGGTTTTATAAATGATATCGAAATAAAAAAGCACCAGAGAGACAACAGGATGGTTATTTTCATTCATTTTGATCAGCAAATTTCCATAAAACTAAAATCTTTTGTACATACATTAAGGTAAGTTAGCAGAAAAATCATCTGAGCTTTATTATATTTTAATAAAATTTTGAAAAAATGTGAAATTAGATCCTCAAAAAAAATCCATAGTGAATGCTAAGGTGCATAAGATAAGCTGTTTTTTTGCCAGAAAAGTGCTTTTTATTGTTTGTTTTTTCATTATAAGACTCATGTGACTTCTCCTAATCAGGCTTATCTTTCAAGATGTCAAGAAAGGATGAAATAAAAAGTCGCACATCTTTTAATCAAATCATTCTTCCCTTGAGACATCGTTAGACGTCATCAGGAAACGAGGAGAGTAAGCTTTTAGCCAAAGTAACTCAGTGAGGATAAGTTTCTCCTTCTTCACCTGAATCCAAGCTCTGCTGAAAATCATTATAAATTAAAGAAAGAGTACTCCAACTTGTTCTTGTAAAACAAAAAAGAGGGTTTTGTGCTTTTATTTTAAAAAACTTGAGCAATCCTGAACAAATAAGAAACTGCAAGAGAAGCAAACATTTTACTGGATGCAGTGTCCAAACGTGTTTTAAATTGTATCTTTATCATATTATTATTATTATTATTACATTTATGTCAATCACATGTGTGTTCAATAAGAATATTAGAAGTAGTAAATTAAATCAGGCATTAAGGGAGGAGTTCTAAAATCTTGCATGGGATCTACACTTGTTTTATTTATTTGTTTATTTATTTATTCTGGTTAACATTTAAACACTTGGTTCAACTTTGTTTGAAAATGAAAGTGCATGAAACAAATAAACAATTAAACAAATAAATAAATAAATACAGTAAAATGTTTCAAACTCGCCCAACTGACTTTTTTTTTTTTTTGTGGGGGGGGGGGGGAATTATTTAACCTTTATATATAGTCTCATTGATGAGGACTCATGAGAGACCTGTTTTGGGAGCAGATGGTGGTGGTGGTGGAGGTGGTGGGGGGAGGGTTAAGGGCCTTGCTCAAGGGCCCAGAGTGGGGCAAAAGAGGGTGGAGGCAGGTGTTGGTGTTTCACCTTTCCCACCCTGATGTTGTTTAATGTGCAGTAATAAATAAATAAAAATAATAAAATTTGAGTTTTTAATTTGGGTTTTGTAGCCGTTTTTAGCCCATCACCTCCTGCAAATTTAAATCAAATTCCTCTGATCCAAAAGAGAAGTTCAAGGATTCACAAAATAATTGTAAATCTGCGGACAAGACTTTTGATTTTTTTTTTTTTTTTTTAAAGAATAAAAAAGTTTGAGTTGAAAATGACTTGATGATCTCACGCACGTCTGATCAAAGAGAATATAGACACTTTAATAAAATATTAGGTACATAATTAATTATACAGTAGGCTTATGTACAGTGGAGCTCTAATTATGCCATTAACACGAGCACTGTGGTTTTACACACACGTTGCACAGAAATGTGAACATACATATTGTACAAGAAATGTTTAATGAAGAGGGGCTGAAAATCTGAAGTTAAGAGAAGGAAATAATCATAATATTAATAATGAGCCTGGCGGTGTTTTAATTACAGTCAAGCCATGCTTCAGGCCCACCACGCTGGCTTCTTAGATCTCGAAATTTAGCTAGAAAAAAAAAATCTTCCAGATAATTATTAACCCTGCGACATCCACGAGTCATGAATAAATTGTCTATTCATTCCAACATACATTACACCTAGTTTACATTCAACAAAGACCCCTAAAGTGAGGGCTACATTCAGCAAGACTTCATTTTTTATTTTATTTGTCCTTTTTTAAACCTTTTAATAGAAATTTCAGAAAACACGCATATTTTTTTTTCTTTTTCCAAAGAGTCTTCACAAAATAGACTTAAAACAGCAAATAAGTGACAAACTTTGCTCCTGTCCAAGATTTACCAGCAAGAAGAAGAAAAGCTGGACACGTTTGGACACGCGGGGGGACTGAGGACGTCTCACACACTACCTGCAACATTCACGATAAGTAAAGAGAAACAGCTGTCTTTGACAGGAGGATGCACGTGGAGGTGGGGGTGGGGGGGGGTCTGCAGCTGGGGTGTGTCCCACCAGGGTCTCAGAGAGAGGGGATGTTGCTGCACTGCTTTGGTGGGAACGAGTCCACGCCGCTGTGGCACGTGTACCATCCGTTCACGATGCTTTTCTGAAAGGGAGAGGCGGAGGAGAAAGTCCGCGAGGTCTGGTGGAAAGCGTGACCCGTCTGGCTGCAGGGGTACTGGGAGGACTGGGACCTGTAGCTGCCCCTCTGCAGCAACAAAGGGTCTAAGAGGGGCTGCGCCCTGTGCGCCGGGTAGTCCATGCTGTCAAACGTGTGATGGAAGCGTGACCTGGGGGTCAACTCGTCTCGACTCTCAGGGGACATGGGGACATCCTGAGCTGAGGTGGGAGGGTTCGGGGGGCTGATCTGGGTCGACCTGCCCTCCGCAGCTTGGTCCTCGTCTCCGGGACGCGCGTCGCCGCCTTTGGAGACGTGCGCCTTGTTGGGGGCGCAGTGGAGCTTCATGTGCTTTCGCAGGGAGCTCGGGTGGGTGTAGCACTTGTCGCAGCCTCTGACCTTGCACATGTAGGGTTTATCACTGGAGTGCACGTGGGAATGCTTCTTCCTGTCGCTGCTGTTGGCGAACCTCCGGTTGCAGCCCTCGAACTCGCACTTAAAAGGTTTTTCACCTGAAAACAAAAGCGGGCAGAAAGAGAGAGAAGGTCACGAGTTACCAGAGTGGATGCAGGCCCGTGCACGGGAGCTGAGCTCGGGTGGATGAAGCTAACAGACAACATGAGCCCCAAAGACTGCACAATAACATGCACAGTGAGTTTCAGGGCAAATTTAAAAAATCCATCAGCCCTCTAATTAAACATTTACATGTAAATTCTGATGCATTAAAAGAAATATAAGGTTGTAAACTATCCATCAGTGACCAAAAACATGCATGTTAGGCTGTTTCAGGCCCGGGCCTCCCTGCTAAAGAGATCTGTGATCTCAGTGGGATTTTAGCCTGGTTAAATAAAGATTAATAAATAAATAAATGACTAATACTTTGTGTCTGGTCGGAGTGTCAAAGATGCTGCAATTTATTGCCATAAAGTATCTGATTAACAAGCACATGCAGCTGTGCTACAGCTTAGCAAATGTCATTAAGGGTCTCTGTTGTGTTTCTATTCTCTGCAGCTTTCATCAGAGAAACAATTCACAGCAGAAATAAAAGAGGGTGCCCAAGGAATATGTTTTTGTCCAGTCTTTTTCTTTTGTGTGTGTGTGTGTGTGTGTGTGTGTGTGTGTGTGTGTGTGTGTGT